CTTTCTTCTGACGGAAACTCGAAGTGGATGGAAGTAGCCATGCTGGGTAGCTGCGCGTCTCGCTGGCAACACACGGCAAGAGTTACGCCATAACTGCTTCCTCCCCAACTCTCGGCTAAGCACGTCAAACGTTCCATTAATTCGTCTCGCTGTTGGCGCGGTATGTGGGTCAGAAAACTCGATCGTTTGCTGAACACGTACAGCAAACTGAGCGTGCTCAGGACCACGTTCATCCGGCTGGACTCGAGCAAGGTGATCAGGTGCTATAAGATAAAAATTCAGATAAATACTCAAAGCAAAAAATATTTCTCCGCTTACCTCCATTGAGTTGTACAGATGGCGGGAGAACGTGTGTTCAAACAAGTGAGATGTAAAATTAAGCACGCCAGGTAGAAGGACCGGCTAAAAATGAAGACCTCGCTATTAAAACTTTGCTTGACAATTAAGGTCAAGGGTTAATGGAGCTTGTCACACTTATCCGTTTATGACACTTAACATACAACCATATTGAAGGAAGTGGAATCACATCTGTATGCTAGTAATACATGGTTCTGCCTACCCTGTGAACAGATGATGTCCCTTAACTGATTCATACTAATTCTCTGCACCCTTGGAACACACCAATAATGCCCTCCCTGACGAAAGGATTCTCAAGTTTATAAAATCATACTTTAGAAGTTTGAGATTCACATGATTCCAGTTCTAACGCGCTACACAAAACTCTGAGTGTTCTTAACCACAAGCAACAACATGCATCTAACAACAGCATTTTCACTTATAAAAAGCTTATACCATTGACCTTTCTGTTTCTAAGATATTCACATGAATTATTATCTTTGAAATGCATATTTTTCTGAGGACTATGTTAATGAAATTCGCGTAGCAGACTAACTGTGTGAGTGAGTAGATAAATGAACGAAATAACGAGCGAGAGCCATACTGTCTGAAACACAGGTAGGATAACAGAAATACGCATAAAAAGTTGAAACTGACACACGACCAATGATGGAATGGTACCTACAGATACATATTTATCGCTTATAACGTGCTTAGCTGTATATATTTCGGTATCGCGTTACCATCCCATAGTCCATGGCCTGCCCAGACTCCTAATTATGGTTCTATCATTCATGCCATCTTGCAAGCATACGCTTCACTACGGCAACTACTGAATGCGATCATGAGGGCGCTGTTCCTAGTCTCCATTTACCCCTCGCAAAGTATGACGGGCATCGTTTTAAAGGAGCAGCAGCAAAAGAAGCAGATCTTGTTGGAAGACAGTGTCGACAAAATGAGGCAGAACAGTGGATCGATGATCGGCGAACCCAGCCCAGAGTCAAGTTTGAATCTAGGTAGATTTAATCTAAGCTTAAGCCTGAAACTGTTATTCGTGCTATTCACAAAGACTGAGATCATCGAACATCCTTATAACAGAAGTTGCTTGTTAACAGTGTTTCGGAGAATGCGGAGGATAGAAATGATCCTAAATCTGTAGCAAGGCAAGAAAAGCCTCCATTAACCCCGAAAATTCGAGGGAAATTGACCAAATTAATAAATCAACAAATTTATTTAGTTTAATTAAACATACCGTTGCTGTAATTACGCCATCCCTCATACCATCATATTAATTGCTAGAACCGCTAAACGTAGACAACTGCCGTCAAATACAGTGATAAATAAATCTAATACAACACGGTCATATTTTGCTTCTGGTAATGGTGAGGCTGCGAAACAGAAGAAAGAAACAGTTGATGTATATTATTCTAAATATGCCATTTAAGGGGAACCTATATCTGCTGACTTTTATATTAAATGCTAAGTAAAGAAACAAGATCGACTGAGTGATAATAAATGATTAGCAAAGCAATGGCTCTTTACTGACATTCGCTTAAACACTTAAAAGAGCATTCTTGGCGTCTTTTTTGTACACTCATACAGAGAAAAAACAAACGGCCAAAAATCGTCCATAAACGATGAAATAACGTGATTCGCTTTGATGCACCTGCCAACAAATGACAAGTCGTGAGGCTGGTGCCTACAAGTACGATGAGTAGCCGATTCAAGCGTAAAACTGATGCAGAAAATCAGGTAAGCTAGGTTATATACTAGTTCGGTATGGGGACAGAACAAACTCTTCGTCTACTTCCTTGCAAAAACATGACTTTAGTGAAAGTCTTGTTAAAAGCGACCAAGAATACAATTCTTAGAAACATCTTATTGTTGTCCTTAGAGTTTCACAATGGTTTGGAACCATTGAATTCACAGAACTCCTCAAACTTAATAATCTAGAAGATTCAGAAACAAAAGAATTTTTAAATAATACTTCATGTTTATGAATTTGGGATCCTAGTCATAAACATAGTTGTCCTAGTTGTTTAAATGCCTCGTGATTCGGAGCAGACCTTACATTTTTCAGCAGTAGTGAATAAACTTAAAGAAACGGAAAAGTAGCACTCATGGCAAACAGTACTATTACGGTATTTTCTAATATCCCTTTGACTGTGAATTTTCTGTACTACCTATTAAATCAGAATATTGGTTCTTTTTTAGAATACATGATCCTGTTGCTGTGAGCGAGATTATCATCTTCCAACAAATACATTTACACCACCATACGAAACAGATATAACTCTGTGGATAAAGTTGATAATCGCATCCCACTTAGATTAAGCTTTATGGTCTTAGTCCTCGCAGTGAGTCAAAATATATGCAAAAAGGCAAACCTTTTTAGTGATAATTAGCAACTTATGGTCTAAACTATAGGGATTTCTAAAGATATGAACAAAATACGCAAATTTTTATGTACGATAATCACAAATCGCTTTAACATCATCAACGTGCAGTTTTTCGAATTATTTCAGTACAAAACAAAAATTCGATTGATAAACTTAGGTCAATCTATGAAATGTGTAAGTAAAATAACAAAAGTAAACCCATACCTCGGAACGATCGCATTCGAGCAACCAACTGTCGGGATTTCGCCGACATGCTTCTTCCAATACATCGTCGAAAAGATCGAGAACATCAATCCAGTGACAAAGTTCACTCTAAATTGAGGAGTCACGAATGACTCGTAGGTGCATCACTCCCGCTCCTTACCTTGCTCCATTGCCACGTCCTGATCGAACACAAAAAGTTCGCCAGCTCCTTCAAGTTCCCATATGAAAGAATTTCATCAATGAGCACCTTGACATCGGGAGGCTGCAAGTTACGCAAATGATACATTGGCTCATAGCATTCGATCGAAACTTACCGGTTCGGGAGTCTGCTTTTTCAGCTTCGTACGGCAAATCTTCATCGCTACTAGACAAGATTTCCCTTGCACTCAGATCGCAACAACAACAATAAAAGAGAAATCTTTGTGACTATGAAAAGTTTTTTACGAAAACGATGAAAGCGTCGTTATG